TATACATATATCTCTTAAAAATTTATACACTATAAAATATAACAATTATTAAAATGTTACAATCGCACGCGACTTTACTTTTAATATTTCATCTTTTCTTGTTAAAGTCTTCTTATAGGAATACAAATCTGGATTTAAGAGTAACGATTAATTACGAGTGCGCGATTATTCTTCATAAGTTCCCTGACGAATTACGCGATCGCCGATGATACTGATAACGCTTCATCTCGAGAAGCAAGTCTGAAATTATACCGCGAAAGAAATCCCGCGGCGCACCGTATGCGACGCATACAAATTTTGATAAAAAACGCAGACTTATCGGGTTTTGCGGAGGTGGCTGCGGAAATATGCGCGACGGCTTAGTAGGACGAATAGAGGGATATTCAACGGCGAGAAACGTATACCCCCCTTTCTCCCTTCGTCGTCGTCGAAGACCCCGGGGGTTGGAGTGCGGTAAGCAGCTCATTAGAACCCTCCCCGCCGACCGGCCATTATTGCCTCGTTCCGTATTCCGTTACAAATTGCTTTATTAAATTAAAGTCCCACAACCCACACTGTACCGCGTCACGACGACCCTGCTGCGTCGACCCTTCCTTCTATCCACCTCCGAGTCCCTTTTGCCCCCTTGTATATACGCGCCCACATGCCACATCGAACCGTGTGCGACCCCCTCTTGTTTCCGCATAAGTCGTTCCCCCTCTTCGATTGTCTTTCTCGAAAATTTTCTCGGACCTCTTTTTTCCAACCTAATTAAGACTTGGACCGTGCAACCGAATGGCTGAGATTAAAAATGATGAACCGGGCGCACAAATAGGATAAAGTCGTTTAATTTATGAAAGATTTGTACTGCCGATACTAGCGATTAATAATTATTAATTAAAGATTTGAAATTATAAATGCCAAAAATATAATTTTGAACAAACTGGAAAACAAAGAGTAATGTAATCTAAAATATACATAATCATACATATAAAAATATATAAAAATTAAATTATTAATGCTGCTCGAAGAAAAAATACAATATAATTTATATTGTGAGAATGAACCAATGTAAAAAATAGCGCTCGTTTCGCACTCTATCAGTTTATAAGTATAATTATAAGTAATTAAAACTATAAAGTTAAATCTCTGTAAGTTGAATATCTAACAAGAGATATCGATCTTATTAAATATTGATTTAATAATATTTGCAAAGAGTGATTTATGTCAGATAAAATATGAGTAATTGAGAGAAGACATTTCATAGAAAAATTAGTGTTATAATCGCAGGTCCAGTGAAAGAGAGAAATATTAAATGGCTGCGGCAATAATTACCAACGTTATAAGGACCGTAATTAATTCCAGAAACGGCGAATTAATTTCGAACTGCGGTTAAAATGAAATACTTCTTACAGTTATAACACGGAAGCTAATTATGCTCCGGGATATATCGCAGGCATATTTTTCCTATGTAGAACAAATGAAGGTGAGTGTGTATATGGAACAAGTGCATACAATAACGCGCACGTTGCACCTTCCTAAATAAATTTCATTGTGCTGTAAAATTAGCATACTAGTAATATAACAAAATCAGATTTATTAAGAAGATACAATATAACCACTTGCTTCACACGTATATATATATATATACACATGTTCACACACTTGCTCTCACTTATAAAGATAATCTGGAGAAGAGATTGATATTAATGTAACAAAGTAAAATGTGGCACTATTTCTCTATGACTTGTCGCGACAGAAAGTCACAGATGGGACTTACAGTTTCCCCTTTTCATTCTGCGAGTCGGAAAAGAGATCATGGGGGATCCCATAGAATATCTATACGATGGCACACACGATCGGATGCACGCGGTTACCGAAAGCGCAATGAAAATTCGCAGCCGGCTCGTCGTGGATGCGATATCAAAATTCCGCTGTGGATTTTTAAGCGATAGTTGAATTTCAATGCAAGTCGCCGATTTTTATTTTAATGGTCGACACGGTCAGTGCCGTAAGAATTAGCGTTTACTATCAAACGTATATATATATTTTAAATATCACGATTTTTTCTAAAATATCGGTTATATATATATATATCATCTACCGGAAAGTTCTGTCCGTTTTTGGAATAAAACAAAATACAAATTTTTATTACCGTCAATAAACTTTATTAAATAATGTAATTGCCATTATTCGGAGAAGTATTGTCAGCAACTGGATAATTTAAATACAGCAGTCCAAGAAAAGAGGCCGGCGATGTACAATAGGAAGAACATCATACACATGTTCACACACTTGCTCTCACTTATAAAGATAATCTGGAGAAGAGATTGATATTAATGTAACAAAGTAAAATGTGGCACTATTTCTCTATGACTTGTCGCGACAGAAAGTCACAGATGGGACTTACAGTTTCCCCTTTTCATTCTGCGAGTCGGAAAAGAGATCATGGGGGATCCCATAGAATATCTATACGATGGCACACACGATCGGATGCACGCGGTTACCGAAAGCGCAATGAAAATTCGCAGCCGGCTCGTCGTGGATGCGATATCAAAATTCCGCTGTGGATTTTTAAGCGATAGTTGAATTTCAATGCAAGTCGCCGATTTTTATTTTAATGGTCGACACGGTCAGTGCCGTAAGAATTAGCGTTTACTATCAAACGTATATATATATTTTAAATATCACGATTTTTTCTAAAATATCGGTTATATATATATATATCATCTACCGGAAAGTTCTGTCCGTTTTTGGAATAAAACAAAATACAAATTTTTATTACCGTCAATAAACTTTATTAAATAATGTAATTGCCATTATTCGGAATGATTTCTTGCCAGCGTGAGGGCAATTTGCATATCCCATTTTCGAAAAATGTTTTATCTTTTGATGCGAAAAATTGAACCAATGCTTGTTTGATATCTTCTTCATTTTTGAATTTCTCGCCCCTCAAAAAATTTTGTAAGGACAAAAACAAATGATAGTCGGAGGGTGCTAAGTCCGAGGAATATGGTGGATGCGACAGAATTCCCCAGCCTAGTTCTGCAATTTTTTGACGAGTCCCCAAAGCAGCATGTGGCCTAGCATTATCATGATGCAGTATGATGTTCTTCCTATTGAACATCGCCGGCCTCTTTTCTTGGACTGCTGTATTTAAATTATCCAGTTGCTGACAATACTTCTCCGAATAATGGCAATTACATTATTTAATAAAGTTTATTGACGGTAATAAAAATTTGTATTTTGTTTTATTCCAAAAACGGACAGAACTTTCCGGTAGACCTAATATATATATATAAACTTCGAGGAAAAACAGAATAAATTTGTAAGATATGATTGTATCTTTAAAAAGCGCGGATATACTTAATCACATATTTAATCTACTCTCTTGTATGTGTGTATGTGCTCTGCATGCTGGCGTACATTGAAGGATAAGTTAAGCGGCGTCTCTCTCTCTCTCAGCTAAGGCTAATTACTCCATTCGCAGCGAAGCGAAATGGATATATTCAGGAACCACTCATCGGGTGACGCGAATGTTGCAGTGTCGCAACAGCTGGGCTGTCAGCAAGCGATGACGGGCGCGGGCGGCGGCACCGGGGAACACGATGGCGGCAAGAAGAAGCACACGAGGCCTACGTTCAGTGGACAGCAGATCTTCGCTTTGGAGAAGACCTTCGAGCAGACCAAGTACCTGGCCGGCCCAGAGCGCGCCAAATTAGCATACGCCCTCGGAATGTCGGAATCCCAAGTCAAGGTAACATTATACTACGTTTTTCATTCGATAATCTAACGCAAATAATATTTTGATTGATTTGCATAATAATAAGTTTTTATTTAAAAGATACTACGTTCTTCATAAAAAGAGAAGGTAATTTTTAACATTTATCTCCAAAAATTGAGACATCTCTTTAAAAGTTTAGGATTACGTATAAGAAAAAGTTTAATACGGTGCTTTGCGTGATTTACGTTTCAAATATTTCGGCAATTCAAGTTATATCCAAAATTATATCGCTTCGAGAAAAAAAAGAAAGACGAAGAGACATTTGTCTTCGAGTTAGTTGCTGACATGGAGAGATCGATCAAGCCATCGCTTCGGTGCGAAAACGCAAATCCGTGCGCGCCGCGAGTAATCCGCGGCCGAAAAATCTCCCCCGAAAAAAGAAATCCTCCACGATCGCCCGTCGACGGCCCGGGAGGAGAAGAGGGAAAGAACCCACCACGACGACAGCCGCAAAAAGCGACTCGCTCGCGTGGATGCGCGATTTTAAAAAGCGTCCCGCTCGTCGCCCGGCTTACTCCATCAACGCGCCCCGCTCGCGAAGCGGAGAGGGCACGCGGGTGCGAGAAAAAGGGGACGGGAAAGGGAGGGCATCTAACGAGGTAGCCGGTAAAAAAGTTCGAAGGATAAAAGAAGGTGACAAAACAGCCGGAGACGTGTCAAGCTTTGCGGCACCTGCGTCATCCTCGGCGTCGCTCTCTCACGGACGTCGACGGTGCACCCTCCCCCTTTCGCCTCCCTCACCCTGATACCAAAAGGAGAGAGGAGAACGAGGAACATCGGGTGAGACATGGATGAAACTCGGGTGAGGCCGCGGTGACGGTGAACGAAAGGACGGAGAGATTCTCTCTCTCTCTCTCCTCCTTTCGTTCGTGGAAGCTTTTGCACCCCTCTTTCCCCTCCATGGACGCGTCTCTGCGCCCCTTCCCCGCAAGTTCCTCCGCCTGTTCCTCCGCCTGCCACCTTCGGCTTCGAGTTGAAGTCTACCTCTCGCCCTTCGTTCCCCTCTTCCTTCTTCTCTTCCTTCGCCATCTTCGACCCTCCGAAAGAGAGGGACCATTCCAAAATCCTCAACCCCTGCCGCAGAGCAGGATTCTCCCATTCTCTCTCTCTCTTTCTATCTATCTATCCCTCACAGACTCCGGGCGTCGATGTAGCGCTGTCATTGGCTCGTTCTACGCCGCCATATTTACATTTTTATTGAAAGCTACAAGTCTGTGTCGGTGAGTGATGGCGAAGGGGAAGCGAGAGTGCGAGCATGGCGCCCCCTGAAGCCCACGGGGTGAGAGAGGGGAGGAAGTGGATGAGGGACGCGATACGGAGGGCGGACGAGGAGGGGTTGCGCGGAACGTGGGCGCGGCGGGGGAGACGCGTCGCGGGGATGAGGAGGGTTAGCATTCAATTACCTCGGATTTCCTCGGGAAGAGGCGATTCACCTTCACGTATATGCCATCTTCGAGGGCGAGATTGCCCCCGGATCCCGGTGTGCCGGCGCGTTTTTCGAAATATTACGACAATATATACCCGCGTACTCTTTTGCGTGACCGGCCGATTCGGGGCGGGGAAAAAAGGTGGTAAAAGGGTGGGTTTGTTTATATCAGCACCCCCAATGAATTCTCCGTTATCTCGCGATATGCGATTTGCTTTAAAGTTTCCCGAAGGGTGAGCATGGTGATCGTGAAGTTACTCACAGTAACTTACACGTATCTATGTGATAGAGAGAAAAAAAATTATGATATCGACTGAAAGCTGCCACTTTGTATAGTAATTCCATGATTATGCAAAAAATCACAATCCAAAAAATATATCCTTCTGAAATAAATATTGTCTATCACTAAAATTAAATTCCTAGAAATATAAAAATTTGCGGAAAAAATCTCGTTAAAAAAAGAAAAAGCTTATAAAAAAATATGTTTCAAGTAATCCCGTAACTGATTTGTAGTCAAGGAAATTGTATAATTGTAACGATATGTATAATGCAGCATGCGGACCGATGTTTTATTTGCGAGTGATATATTGTAATTGAATACACGAGAGGATGTACAGAACGACGCGGTCGATGCGAGCGGAATAACAACGATAGATCGATACCGTTCCCTCGCGGTTTCGGGTAATACCGGATCATTACATACTGGACCTATCACTTTTTTCAATATTGGAAAGGGATTTGCGCGTGGTACGAAGGGATTTGGCAGCGCTGCCAGATGAAGATTTATATCGGCCCGTCATATATTTCACAATTCCAGATTTATAACTTTTTCATTATCGAAACGTATATCTTATCGATGCTCGCGCGCGCGTAGGCTTCTTTCTCTTTTTTTTTTTCGCCTAATAGCGCGACGGATTTCGGTAGCTGTAATCTCCGGAATACATTTTGCCGATGGTACTCGGTACGGGGTTATATCCGTCAGGCTGTACAAATTGCCCGCACGTTAATATATTCGATCAACCGAACGTCGCTGCTCGAATGTGACTCCTATATCCTTCATGGGAAGGAAGAGCTTCTCTCTATAATGCGCACGGTTGGTTCGCATAAATTCTCGCAATGAGATATTTTCCGGCAATATATACGCGTAATCTAAGCTAATATAAATGATACAAATGTATCATACGTAGTACTTTGTATGCAACAAAGTTGCATACAACGTACGCATATGAAACTTTTTTTATTTGTTTGTATACATAATAATAAATTTAAGATTAGTCATCTACAGATAATTATTCTATTATGACTTTGTATTGTGTATAAATTTTTAAAACATAAATTATATATCTCTTAGTTAATAAATCAGTGAAAGCAATTTTTGACAAAATAATTTAGTTTCTCGAAATATATTTAATTTTTTCTAAATTAAAATTTTGATCGTGTCGCGCGCGTTATTTCTAAAAAAATTAAAGTATTATTACACACACACAATATAATCCTGCATCAAAGCGTATATGTATCTGTAACACATAAGTTGTTTATATAAATTTTCCTAAATAAATCTTTTAGATTCGTCACGCGTTTCATAATAATTATACATGAGAGAAACAAATCCGGCTATCATTAGCTGCTGCCATGATACCAAACTTTGTCGTCGACGAAATTGGCAATGATATAGCATGATTTAATCAGAGACCACGTAAACCTTCAGTTAAGGCAAGTCAAGTGCAATGCGATGCGACGAGACGAGACGAAGAGCTCTTAGTATGAATGACCCTCTCGGCTCGTGTGTGTGTGTCCCCCTATTAGAATCTAATACGGCAAAGTGAACGCGGAGCATTTGCGAGTTAAAGACCGTAACGCCCCTGTTTCGCACAGGCGCTCTATCTTACATCTCTCTCTTATATCGCAGCGTATATCGCGACGAGGAGAATGAGAGATAGATGGTGGGCTCCGAGGGTGGTAAAGAGCGCGAGAGCGGATGATATCTTGAGGCTTTTCGTTAAAAGAGAAAGAAAGAGATAGAGAACGGAAAACGAAGCGAGTTAAACAGGGTTGTGTGTAGCGATGGCATCGACCGTGAATCAATGGGATTAGATACTTTCTTGTACAGATGATGCCGAGGGTGTGGCAGTCGCGATTCATTGCTGTGACAGAAAGTCAGCGACTGTAGTGGCTATTCTGCGCAGCCTCTTTCTTTATCGAAGCGATTTACGGTGAATGGAAATGTTTAGAGGAGGTTATACTATAATATTGCTGAGCTAGTTAATCCGTTATCTCTCTGAATTGTTCACGGGTCCTATCCGCTATTACAAATTATGTTACAGATTTGAATAAATTCGCAAAGAATCTGCTTTTAAAATAGTGTCTGGTTTTACGCCATTAAATATATTCCGCATATTTATGAATGATTTAAATGAATGAAACGTAATACTATGACCTAATTCAGAATAGAAATCTATACATTAGAAGAAGAAATATTGAAATAAATCATAAAAAATATCTTACAAATATGTATATATTATACATTTTTTTTCTATTTTTATAAAAATAATGTATATGTGTGAATATTTTTTATAAATATTTAAAGATTATTAAAATAAAAAAAAAAAGATTATAGAAAATGATCTGCTTCTAAAAATTATCTGTAATTATTACATAATTATTCGAAATGATCATTCATTTAATAATCGTCATTAAAAAAGTAACAATCAATCTTATCATTGGAGAACATTCATATCGTCACATTTACCGTTTGCCCCTACGTCTAATCAATTTCCCCCTCTCGTCGCTACTTTTAAGCAAAACATCGTACACCATTTCGAGTTAATTGAAAACAGCAGCATCCCCAACACATTAAACACGATATCAAACTACATATCGCAAATGGGCCCTGCGCTATGACGAGGACTGCGCCTCTTCCAAAAAGGGACGAACGCTGGATAGGATCACCAGCACATGTAGAAATGCAATGGTCTTACAACGTGCATTACGTATCCCTATTTATCCCTCGTGACGGTAGTAGTAGTGGCTGATGGCAAAGTGGCGCGGTGGTTCCCCATCCAAACAGAACGCGCGGCGGCTACCGGAGGGGACCGGCGAGGCTCGGGGCGGGTGGATCGGTGGGCCGAGTTGTTTACGGCGGAGTAATCTGCTCGTCGACGGATACCAATATCGATGACGTCAATTAGTACGAGGCGGAAGGCCTCTCTCTCTCTCTCTCTCTCTCTTCCTCCCCGCATCTCCTCCGCCTCCGCCATGTATCATCATGGCGGTGTATGTACGCCGAGCGGTGCGCGGCGTGGCGTGATAAATCACGGCAGCAGGCGGCGTTCCCTTCATTCAACTCCCGCTACCATCAGTGTGCCGCACCGCACCGCACCGCACCGCACCGCACCGCATCGCATCGCACCGCACCGCACCACATTTCGCGTACCCTCGAAATTGGCCCACATGTACTTGACTCCATAATGCCCGCGATTCCACCGACTCGGCCTCGACTTTCTCTCCTCTTTCTCTCTCCTTCTCGAAAGAACCGACTTTATTTTTC